CCAACGCGCACCAGAATGTTGGTTGGCCGCAGCGAGGCCGAAGCGCCGAAATATTCCGCCCGCGGTTTTCGGCCGTCCGATCCACATCGGATGAAAAGGACCGCGGAGGCAATTAATAGGGCGGGCCGGGCGAGCAGGGCGGCCAGGGCGGCAGGGTGGCACCAGACCGAACCGATGGCAGCTTGGCAGCGTCAGGTTCGAGCGGGGCGGGGCGGGGCAGGGCCGGGCGGGCCGGCCTGCGTTTGGCCCCCTATTTAGCTGGCCCGGGACGGCCTGACCCGCGGGCCCCATTGTCTGAACGGCCCTCCGTATTTAGGGGCGGGGGACACTCCGGGGGAAGGGGGGGGAGCGGCCGCACGATTCGCAGAGGGGAAATTATGCGAAGATGGCGGGCTGTCCCTTGAGCTGACGACGTAAGTTGGCAGCGTGAGTGATGGAGGGGCCGCCGCCTCGCCTTTCATTAATCTGGAAGGTGCTGCCCTCTGGCGCCGCACCGCCGCACCGCCGCGCCGACGTCGCGGAGGTATTGCCGACGCAAATTGAGGGAGTGGCGCAGCGCGGAGACGTTTGTGTTTTCAGGTCATGTCCCGGCCGCTCTTGGCTGGTCTCCAGCGCCGCTGCCCCGCACACACGCACCCCTCTTTTCTTGCGTCTCTCTCTCTCTCTCTCTCTCTCTCTCTGTCTCTCTCTGTCTCTGTCTCTCTGTCTCTCTCTCTCTGTCTCTCTCTCTCTCTGTCTCTCTGTCTCTCTCTCTCTCTCTCTCTCTCTCTCTCTCTCTCTCTCTCTCTCTCTCTCTCTCTCTCTCTCTCTCTCTCTCTCTCTCTCTCTCTCCTCTCTCTCTCCTCTCTCTCTCCCCTCACCCCTCTCGGGCGTGGCGGTCTTGATCGTGGCCATCGAGTCGTCCGTCTGTCCGTCCGGCCTGCGTGGTCACCACTGAGACCGACGTGGCTCGCCACTGGTGACGCCAGGACTTTGCGGAATCAAGGACCCGAGCTACAAGCCTCGGCGCGCCGGCCCGCGCTGCCCTTCTCCAACTTCGCTCATGCGTCACTCCGCACCGAGCTCCGCACCCTGCGGCCTGCGGGCTGGGCCGAGGGCCGGGCCGTCCGTGCGCCGACCGCCGCCCCCGCCGCCCCCGCCGCCCCCGCCGCCCTCCCCGTCCGCCCCCTCGCACACTGCGACCGGGCTAACGAGCCAGACCCCCTGCACTGTCGTTCGTTCGCATCCCTGGCTTCAAAATGAGAATCGTTTCGCCTTGCGCTACGTGCATTTCAGTTGTTGACATGCCTTATTATTGGATGTGTTAGCCGGAGGCAGCCAGCCCCTGTGGACCCTCGGCCGCGCCACATTCATGGTCGCACTCCGGTCGACCAAGGAAAGATGCTATGGGACGTAGAAAAAACCAGCTCTTCCTGAATCTCTTGAGAAAGCCAGATAACTGCGTTGTCGTGCGATGAGTCATTCAGCTGCGAACTGGTGTTTACCGGACGGGGTCTGGCCTCTGCAATGCTGCAACTCCAGGTCGGCCTCCAGGCCCGGAGCAGCCCTCGGCCGAGCCGCCGGGCCGCCGGGCCGCACACACGGAGACTGGCTCTCTGTTTCATGGAAATGAGCGGCCCGCTTGTGTTTCATTCATAATGCGCCGAGCGGCGCGGGGATTCTGCTTGTTTTTCAGTAACGTGTTTTCCACCGTATCATCCTCGAACGGTTCTATTATTTACGCAAACTCGTGTTGTTGCGTCGGACCCGCTGGACCGCCAGCGGTGTTGGTGGGGGTGGTGGCCGTGCGCAGCGGTGCGCAGCTGGAAGACAACTCTCCGGCCGCGCCTGCCCGTGCCCCCCGCGCCCCGACTGCCGGAAAATTGAGGGCCTTCGCGCGCCCTCCGCCACGGCCCATCGCGCTGAGCTCTTTCTGACAACACAGATTCGGATTGGGGCAGGCGGGGCGGGGCGGGGCGGGGCGAGGCGGGGCGGCGAGCAAAGCAGACGAAGACAGCGAGCGACAGCTCAGTGCCAAGGCCGCCAGCGTGCGCCAGCGCCAAGCGCGCCAGGCGCGCCAAGCCCGGATGGTGTGTACACGCACAAACACCGCAGAAACGCCGGCCAACTTCCGGGCCGCCTTCCGCCTTCGGGTTCGTGAACATCGGCGGGCCGCGCGGTCGCACCAGCCCAGGGGCTTGGATAAGCAGCGGCCCGCCCGGCTCGCCCGGCCCGCCCACACAGGACACGGATCGGGGTCCCGACAGCCCGGGAGCGCGGCCCGAGGACACTTCGGTGTCGGTCCGTCCGGTCCGCACCCCCGGGTCTCTTGGCCCGGGCCGAGCGGCGGGGAGCCAGGCCAGAGCGATAGTGCGGCACTGTGTGAGAGACTTTGCGTGTGTGTGCACGCCACTTTGGCAAGGCCCCACCGGCTTCTGTGCTGTTGCTCTGGCAACGGGCTGCATGCTGGATGCATTGCCCGCGGCGTGGCGGCGCGCTGCCCAGGCCGTCCGGGCGTCCGAGTGCCGCGGCCTGCGCCCCGCTCGCCGTGTTCTTGCCCGTGTTATGTACGTGTTACGGCGCGGTAACGGCTCTCGAGCCGCTCTGGAAAAAGGGGCCATAAAACGGGGCTCAATTAACGGTGGCGAGATTCGCTGCGCTGCGGCCTCCAGAGCGCTGCCGCGGCTGCGTGGCGGCTGCACATCTCCATCTGGACGTTACCTGCCGCCGACGCTGATGGCCCTCGCCCTGAAGTGGGTGGGGCGGAGCGACGGGGCGTCCCCGCCGCGGGGCTGCTCATTTGATTGCTGACGGTCACAGTCGCCGCGGAACGGTTGGCGCGACGGCCGCGGAGCCGGGCCAATGCGCCCAGGTGGAACGCAGCAGTCAAGACGGTGTCAGAATGACGTCAGAGGGACGTCACGGCGGTGCCTTCGGCGCGTAAAAGCTTTTACCTTCTCGCAAAGGGACCACGACGTCGCGGAGATGTCACTTTGACATACGATATCTCCTGCTTGCAGACAGACCGACACGTCTTCCTGTTTCGGGTGAGCGCGGTGTGGCCACAGCCGTCAGTTGGTCCAGTCGGCGCAGATAGCCGCGCTGCGACCCACAGCCCCACAGCGGCTGCTCCCTGCCCGCTAAGCCCTAAGTACGTCTGCGGCCATAACCGTAATTCAAGGTGTGGACCGTGGCGCGGCGGGCGCGGCGCGCTGTCTTATCTTTCGCCTTAAAATTACCTCAAATTCATGCGGAGGCGCTGTTTTGTTGCGTCCCGCATCCGAGAGGGCGCGGCACGGCGGTGCCCCTGGCTACACAAATTGTCAAGAGAGCCACGATGTCTGATTCGGATCGGTCGAACCACTGTCGTCGCTTCGTCTCTCTCACTCTCTTGAGGCGTCCCGTTGGTGCAAGAGGCAGAGCCGAAACGCTGGGCGAGGCGGAATCGGTGTTCTGACTTTGACCTGCGCGCTTGGTGAGGTACGTACCGCTGCGCGGTGCCGCGAGGTACTCGCCCGCATCCGTGCCTCCCCGCGCGGCCTCGGCCTCGGCTCCAGCACCGCCCTGCCTCGCTGGAACGACTAAACTTTCCCGGAAGGAGGCGGCGCGCTGCAGCAGGTGTGGCGTGGCCGCGATGGACTCACGCGCGCCGCGGTCAAGCAGTTCGTTAGGCCGGGGAGAAAAATCCCGATCGCCGGCAAGTTTGCCTCGCCTGGGCGTGCCTGGGCGTGCCTGGGCGTGCTCCTCCCAGGTAACCCGGGAACGGCGGCGCCTGTCGACTGATTCCGAGGGCCGCCTTCGTCGCTCTGTCTCTCTCGCACTCGTGGGGCGTCCCTTATAGGTGCGAGAGAGACAGAGCGACGAAGGCGGCCCTCGGAATCAGTCGACTGCCCCGGCAATTCAGCGCGTCGTTTTGTGCGCTCATCGAAACCAATTGAGGCGAGGTGCTTCTTCTTGCTGTTTTTCTTTCCGTTTTCGGTTGTAGGAGCTGGGGGTGAACACGTTGGAGATTTTGGCGGTGGATGAAATCGCGTACAGCTTTTCGTAGTCATGCCAACAGCACGCGGTCAGACATGCCGGTTTTCAGCCCCACTCCAGTGGCTTTGCCAGGGCTTCGATGTTGCTCATTACATTGAATCCGGTGATTTCGGACGATCCCGGACGGCAATTATAAGGGTTCGGGAAAGAGCGTTCATTTTTCCTCATGCGCAATGAGTGCAATTCTCCCCTCAATTCTAGGAACGCGTTCCACCCCGTTTGCTATGAAAGGGTTCTGCGAACGTGTGTGCGTGGACTTTTTCTGGCTTGTGGGAAGAGTCCTCTCTGCTGCTAACGCAGTCGGAGGTGGGGTCTCCGGTTGAGGAACGTCCTCCACGGTCGCGCGGTCCGTGGCTTGTGACGCCACTGCGACTTGGAGACGGGGGCACGGCGGACAGGTTGCCAAGGGGATCGGTGGTTTCGGGAGGTTGCTGTAATGGTGGTGCGGGTGGACGCCCCCGTGCCGCCCCCACGCCGCCCCCGCCCCCTGCGTCCCACGCTCCGCATGACAATGAGCGCCCTTTCGCTGACCGCTACACGCTTATCGCGGACCGACAGTCAACGGGGACGTCACGGTATGAAAAATCGCTGGCCTCGAAAAAAAAATCCACCAAAATGGCTCTTAGTGCAGTCGATACATGTGTACTGCCTCTTTGTCTCGCGGGCACAATGCCTGGCTGGCTCGTCGGTGGCGCTATCGGGCGCACGGCGCGGCCTGTCACGCGCACGCGCGCGCACGCCGGTCTTGGCACTACTGCTTGGCAGGGCCTTGCGAGAGGCCGCCAACCGACGCTCGGCGCGGATGTCTTCCGGGGCGCCCTGAGCCGACCTTGAAGCTGTTCGCAACGCCATCACACAGTCTAGAGTGCCATTCTCCGAGTTGATTCCCTCCGCGACTTTTCACCTCTCGACATCCTTCCTCGAGCGTAAAAATAAGTGGACGGCATTCTAACGCGGCGTGTCTCTGTCTTCTGTCCGCGCAGGGGAGCGTGAGCTTCACAGACCAAGAGAAGAAGTTGCTGGACCTGAGCATCACCACGACGGCGACGGAGCGACACTCGCAGGGCGCGCCGTCCTCCATCGGCAGCAGGGAGGTGCTGGGGTCGTCGCCGGACCTGGAGCTGCGGCCGCTGCCGCTGCCCGACCCGCCCCTGCACATCACCATCGAGAGCCACTCGGAGAACATGGCCGTGTTCCCGCCGCCACCCGGTGAGTCACCCAACCAACGTTGTTGCACGATGACTCATTTTAACCGGGCCCGTGGAGAACAGACGTTTCTAAATTTTGCTGTGCGAGAGTAAAAGCGAGTAGATGCGAACCATTACGGCGGTGCTCGCGGCCCGCGGCGCGGCCTCGCCGCTAGAAGGAACGGGACGGCCTTGGTGGGCGTGGCCCGCCTCGGCCCGCCTCGGCTCGGCTCGGCTGGTTTAAGGTGAATACTTGAGCGCCGAGGGCAATCCAGGGGCGGAGTCATTGGAACAGTTATGCGCTCCTTGGCATGCGGCGCCCCGCTGCTGGACCCGGGGGGCGGCGGAGGGCGGGATGGCGCGGGGAATTTGAATACACACCGGCCTGGTATTTAAATTTATTGCCATGGCTTTTTGCCGCGCTGCAGCCATACTGGCGAGCATTATCGTCCATCGCGACGACTGCAGCATGACCCGCCGGGGCAGGCCGCCCAGCCGCCGTCCCTCATGCCGGCCGAAGGCAATCGGTCACGGCGTCCCTCGCAACGCTCGGCCGGAACGCCCGGCCGGAACGCCCGTCCGGAACGCCCGTCCGGAACGCCCGTCCGGAACGCCCGGCCGGAGCGCCGTTCACGACTACTCGCACTTAGTCCTAGAATTATTCAAGGACTCCGCTCCCTCTCGGTCTGACGGGAGGCTCGCCTCTGCAGTCTGATGGCGAACTGTGTTCCGTCTCTCTGTCTTTCCCTGACTGCGAGAGAGGCCGCGCGGCGAAAGCACCGTTCGGTATCGCCCTGTACCGATCGAGTCAGTGGCCCCGCGGCCCCTGAGTGGGGCCTCACTCGCCGCCACTCAACGGGGCGCGCCTCCAAATGACACCGTGTGCGCAGCGGCAGCAGCGGCAGCAGCGGGAGTGTGTTCCCGCGTCGCGTGTTTACCGTCTCTGTTATTTCTACAAAGACGGAGGGATTGCTCGGCACACAGACACACCGCGTTGATCCGCCGCCATCAAGAGACGCGCGGCGGGTGGGGGTGGGGGTTGGCGGCGGGCTAGGCCATCTCCAGGTTGCCAGTGCTGCGAAGTTGTAGTGACCGCCAGTCATTTAGAGGAAACCCCGTTCCAATCTTGACACAATGGCGTCACGCACTTTTGGCGATTTGAAAGCCTTGACGCACTACTGAACATGGATGGCGATAAATAAACACGTTGCGTCTTCTGTTGCAGAGTTTTCGTCCAGCGTGCTGCCCACCGGTGCGTTCGGCAACATCTTCATCTCGGTGTCCGTGAGCCAGGAGCCCGGCGTGGTCCCCGCCGGCCACCCGGGCCACCCGGGCCACCCGGGCCACTCCGGCCACGGCCACGGCGGCATGGGCGCCATGATGGGCACCATCAGCGCCGTGGGCCCCGTGGGCCCCGTGGGGGCCGTGGGCCCGGTGGCGGCCATCGCGGACCTCAAGCGCTTCCCGGACCTGCTCGAGTTCCCGCACCGGGGCACCGTGCTGCCCTCCGGCATCGTCAAGAGCGTGAGCGTGGCCACGGGCCCCGACCAGCCCTACGTGCCCATGAGCCTGTCCACGCCCAGCCTGGCGCCCTTCGCCACGCTGCCGCGCCGCCACCTCCGCAAGGACGTCATCGAGGGCCCCGGCCGCGGCGCCGCGCCGCACTACGACAACATGGGGCCCCGGGTGACGGCCAACGGCAGCTCCACGCTGTCCCTGCCCGACGAGGACCAGCTCGAGGCCACCGTGTGCTCCAGGGCCAACTCCAGGGTCGGCTCCCAGGACCTGCCGCCACCGCCACCGCCGCCACACTGCACGTCCATGTCGGAGTACGTCGCGCTGTGAACAAAGACTACTTTCAAATCAGTGAGGGCGTGCGCGCCAGTGTATATATATATATATGCGTGTCCGAGGGTGCGAGTGAGTGTGCGTTTGTGTGAAAGAGAATTGTAGAGGCAAGTGACAGAGAGGCAGTGTATAGACGTGTGTTTGTGTGTGTGTGAGAGAGAGTAGAAATGTGCGTGTGTGTATATGTATATAGGTGTGTGTGTGTGTCGTGCGTGTGTGTCCCTGTGTGTATGGACTCGGAGGAGTGCGTGAATAGACGCGTATCCGTGCGTGTGCGTGCATGTGTGTGTGTGTCTCGTTTCGTATGCGTTGGTGAACGGGCTTTATTGTCTCGGAGGAACTTTTCGCGAGTGTGGCCTGACTTGGCGGCTTGCCCGAGTTCACCGCGTCGCTCGGCGAAGAGGGGCGGGCGGCCTTAGGGCAGCCTGCGATGACGCCGTGCCTTTGCATCGGCTCGACCAGAAAGCGGGCTGCCTCCACGTCGTGCTTCGTACTTCGTGGCCTTGGCCGCCTTGGCCCGCCTAGGCCCAGAGCCTTGTACAGTGGCGTGGCTGCGCCGCGGTGCCGCTCCAAGTCGGTCGCGGCGATTCCTAGCGCCGAGGCTGGTGGCGCGATACAGCCCTCCAGTCTACCACGCACCACCTATTGGTTTTTCTACCTAACTCAAGGACAAGATGAGGCAGAGACAGAGTGCCAGCTTTGTCGTGGACTGTAGTTGCATTGTGAGTGCGGAGTGTCGTGTGCTGCATCGAACATTAAAGTGCTGTGGTTCTTATTTTTGTGTAAGAGGATAGTTTGATGTACATTTTGGAACAAGAGTCTCTAGTCGACCTGCGATTGACGTAAACGCTTGTACCTTTATTTGCGCCAGTCTGTGAGTGAGTGCCGGCGCCACCCCGAAGGCGTTGGCGCGTGCACTGCGAATCGCTGTGAATCGCACCATCCCGCGCTTGTGGAAAAGAGGTTATTTTTGACTACGAAGCTTGTAACGCTCCGCCACGTCCTTTGTAAATTAGAGCAGACTACTTGCACTGTCTCTGGTAGCGGTTACTTGACTGTAGCGTTTTATACGATGTATGGCCAATGTCATATCCAAAGAAGATCCCGGATAAGGTCTCCAATCACATGTAGTTTTAAAAAGTCTTCGTTCTACCGGAGCGTTTTGGTTGATCTACCTATTTCTTGCGAGTCATCGTCAGGGTGGCTTCAATTGTTGCTTTGTTTCATTATTGGTGATGTGTTACTTTTACCCACAGATTGATGTTAAAGTTTACCTTCCCACCGATGAGCGCTGTGCGCGTCGTTTCTCTCGTTTCTCTCACTGTTTGCCCTGAATCTTAGCCTGGTTTATTATTTGTGGCGAAGTAATGTTTGTATGAGCAGTTGACGCAATCTTATTTGTCTCAACTCCTAGAATTTGCCATTTATGATCGTTTGTGATTTCCCCCTTTCTATTCCCTACAAAATATACTTTTAATTAATTCTTAAGTCTCTTTAAAACAATTATGGGGACGAATGGCTTTTTGACCACTGTGGAATAACAATTTATAAGATGTATGTACGCACGAGTTTATTTCAGTCACTTTTGTGAGTGTGGCAAATCTAAGTGAGCGATGGTAGTTGCCATTGCATGTTCTGTGAATCTAAGTAGAGGATTAATTGTGCAATAGTTTGACTGTTTCTAAAATCTTGCATTATAATGCGTGTCAAAAACATTTGCATCCCACCAAATCGAGAGAAACTTATCAATGAAATAGTAGTTCTCATCCTGTAACCATGACATCATGAATGTATTTTCAAATGCTGGTAATAAAAATGTTTGTCTGCACAAGTTTGTTCTGAAAAATGTGAAAATAAAGATAGATAGGAATACGAATGTTTTGCATCGTTCTTATTTCTTAGCGCTAGCGTAGACCCTTCCAAACAGAAAGTGAAGCAAATACTGGAATGCAAACGCAACGTTGATGTAAAGGAAAGCAGTGCACTTATAGATACATCCATAAATTCTAACTTTAATTAATTCATCCATAGCCCTTTTTTTCTATCTTGCAAAAAATATCAAATATTAGGTACCAAGGCTGTGCTTGGTTCTGTTATTCGAAGTAAACAATCCACATAGAGTGCTGCTAAAGAGGCATTTTTCGAGTGGCATGGAATCGCATAATGCAAGGTTCAAATTGACTTCTAAAGCCTTTGCCAAACCTTTGCTTAAACTACGTTGGCTGAGACAAACACAACTCTTGTTTGGGCACCGGGTCCCCACCGGTCTCCGCTACGACACTTCCCCAATCCGTTTTGCGTGGGAGTGGAGGAAAGGGGGAAGGGGGGCCTCACCCCTAATGAATTTCCGATGTGCTGGGAATAGGCGTACGCGGGCAAACGTGAAAGGGGGCGGGGCATCAGCAGAAACAGCCTGTCACATTGTCACCTCCCAACACGTCTGCGATTGCAGCGATTTCGGCTGGTCTCCGCCTCCGCCCTAATAGCCCCCGCCCCCGCCAAAAGCGCCGGGTCACTGGCCGGCGAACTGCGTGCCGCGATATTCAGAGAACTGTTTTCTCCAGCCCGGCCGGCCAACGAACAAACGGAGCGCCGCGCAAAAATCTCTTCCCGGGAAGTGAAAAGTGAAGACGCATCTGAGTGGTATTATCGGGGCGGGGGGGAGCAGGGATCGAGACGAACAACGGGGACGGAGAAAATTAGGAAAACGAACCCGCCCCTCTCGGGCCTGAGGCTCCAGGCGGCACGGTCCATTCAGGGCGGGGACAGCGAGATTCAGAGCAGACTAGAAATAAATGGTGACGTCTTCATTGGAAGGGTCGTGCCTTGCCTGGCTTCGCGTTACTTCCGCAAGATTACGCTTTCACAAAGCTGCCAAGGGCCTGCAAGGGCCGACCCGCGACGACGCGGCGCACCGCGCCACCGCGCCACCGCGCCCAGACCGCGGATCGGCCGCGGCCGCACCTCGCCGCCCCGAGTGACTGCGTGCCACTGCGTGCCACTGCGTGCAGTGGCGGGGCGGTCAGCAACACGGCGTGCGCGTCATTCCAGCATCGGCACGCTGCGTGTTCGGGCAGTGCACCAAAGGCGCCGCGGGGCAGACCCCGGGCAGGTCTTGCTCGACACACACGCCGCCCCGCCCCTCCCGAAGACGGGCGGCGTGTCACGTCCACGTGTCCGCGTTGAGGAGCGCCGTGGCGGGGCGGGGCGGGGCGGGGCGGGTGGCGTATTACAGCAAGGCTGCTGCCGGAACACGTTTCATATGACGGGCCATGACGAGCCGCGCCCCGCCCCACCCACTCCACCCCGCCGCGCCCCGCCACTGCCGCACCTGCTGGAAAAGGCCTAACTCCGCCACTGACTCTCAATCCCACTTGGGCGCGCTGCTGGCGCGCTCCGTCAGGCCGGGAGATCGAGTTGGCGATGACAGGACACTGTGGCGGCCTGATGACGCCCCCTCCCCCTGAGGAGGGCCCCCACGCCCCACGACGCCCCCACGACGCCCCGTGCGACGTCGTGCTGCCCGGTAAGTGATGGCAGGGGCGTGGCGCTGGAGCAACGTCCGAGGAAGTGAACCTGCAGCCAGCCGGCAGCACTCCCAGAATTCTCATGCAGCCTGCCTTCCTCAAACAAAATAAAATAAAATTCGAAAACCAAATAAAAAGACGATGGCAAGTTACAGCGTATCAGTGTCGACCTATGAGGGGCCTAACACGCGGGGCCCCTCCGAGCGTATACGGCGCGCCGGACGAAAGCGAAGCGGGCAGCGAGTCGAAACTAACTGTTTTATTTCCTGTGCCCCAACACAATCTGGACGTGTGGTGTTGAGCGTGTTCCGGGCGGGTTATAGGGGGCCCGTAAGTGATTCTCTCTCGTTTCACTCGTCCTTTCGGTTCCAATATCCATTCTGCCGCCCCCCCCCCTCTTTTCCTGCGCTTGTGTGTACGGCAATTATTTACGCACCATCACCTCGGGTCAGATATTTGGTGTCGCCGGTGCATATTTCATGGGGCCCGGGGGCGCGCGAGTGTGCGAGTGTGCGTGCGTCGGGGGATCGGAGAGAGAGAGGGGGGAGCGTATCTGTGTGTGCGCTGTAGTGCGGCAAACATCATCTGGCCGAGCGGAATATCGATTTATCGCAAAGCGGGCCCTTGCTGAGTACCTTGCCCACATAACCTCGATTGAGAGGCATAGTGCAACGCTAGTGCACAGCCACGTGGATCAACGGTGCTCATAGTTTTTCCCGGTTTTTCCGACCTTACGACCTGGCCAAATTTCACCTGCCCGTGAATCGGCCTGCAGCTGGAGAGCGACTCGGTGGCGCTCCATTGATCCCACGGCTTACTCTTTGCCAATCTAGACATGGCTGCAAACAGAGCAGTTTTTCCAAAACGAAATTCCTGCACCTGTTATTTCTTGGTTTTGATAAGGTTTGTTTTCCTTTAAATGATTTCCAAACACATTTTAACGCAAAAGAAGTATACCAGAAATGAACTCAACAGGATAAAGAAAATTTCAGCGAAAGAGGGCACCCCGGCGAACCGGCCCTCTTCCCCGCTGGCTTGGTGAGCCAGTGGTTCCCCCATCTCATCACAGGAGCAACCTCAGAGTTAAACCGCAGTGGCCCCGTCATTGGTCACGTCATCTGTGATGTGGAGGAGTCCTCTCATAGTAGGCCAGGCTGCCACCTTTCCCAGTAGTCGGGTTTCGATCCCCGGCCCCCTTCCCACTCAGGGGCCATGCTACTGGTAGTCAGGAGTCTGCGTCACCCTGCCCAGCAGCGGAACCACTGGGCTATGAGAGGCACACTGGTCGCCGGCCGATCTTGTATACTTGAACCGCCTTCGGGCGATGCTCACTGGGTAAAAACATTTCCCACCAACGGGTTTTGAACCCTGAACTATGATGTCGCGAAGCGACGCCTCTCTGCTCTCGGCCACCACTGCTCATAGAGACAAGTGCGAGGAACGAATGGCTTGAAGCCAAGCGATGGATTCAAACCGCAATGGTAGAGCCAGTAAAAATGTGCAAGCATTGGGTTTCGATCGCCCGAACTGGGCGACGAAGACGAACGCCTTTGCGCACTCGGCCACTGCGGTTCCGGGAACCGGGTCGGGTAAGCCAACGGGTTTGATCTGCAGTGGGAGAGCCAGTCGAAAAACTGAAAAGGTGTTGGGAATCGATCTCCCGACCGGAGGGTAGAGGACCGAAGCTCCTTTGCTCTGGGCAAGCTTGGCAAAAATTTCTCGGCCGATCGAGCATCGAACCCCGAAACCCAGTGCCGGGATCGGACGCCTTGACGCACTCGGCCACGAATACACCACGTGTGGTGGCTCCCCGTCGAAGACGTGGCCACCTGCACACCGCACCGGCGGCAGTCGCAGCGGCGCTCAGGCGCTCGCTCTGTGCTTCACGCTGGTTTTCCCTAACCTTCGTATCACTGCATTTCGGCCAGTATCCCGGCCAGGGCTGTGCTACCTCGAGGCGGTGCCGCTCGGGAAGCCGCGGACGGGATGGGACGGGATGGGACGCGGAGCCCACTTGTCGAAACGTCGGAACGGGTCCAGACGTTGCGGCCTGGCCTTGGGCAGGCTTGATTATCCCTGGCCAGACTGCACGGCCTGCACTCACCGCTTGCCCGGTGCATACTTGTTGCCGCCCCGCAGGTGCCGTGCCGTGCCGTGCCGTGCCGTGCCCCGCCGCCGCCAGGGCACGCCGATGGGTGCGGCGCAGTGCGGCGCCAAGCAGCCCCCTGACCGATTGAATCCAAGACCGCGCCCCCTCCACTGGCAAAGCGGAAGCGGCGGCAGTGGCGGAAGCAAACCCAGCCCGCGCAGACTGGTTGCGGGAAATGTGTTATTCTGTATCGAAATTGGCCGGCCCCGCCTCTGCCTTTGACTGCCTCGTGCATCCCTCGTCCCCCTGCCCCCGCGCCGCCCTGCGCTATTGACTGAATCTCATGGCATTCCCAACGGCATGACGAGGCTGACGTTTTCATCTCGGCATGCCATTCTTGCCAGACAATATGAGGATGTTGTGCCCCCGAGCGCGCCGAGCGGGCCAAGCAAAACAGAGAGTCCAGTAATTGGACACTCACTCGGTCGTCGGCCGTGGGAGCGGCGCGGCGCGTCCGGCGGTCCAGCGCGTGCAGTGTGGGAAGCAGTGCCTCAGTACTCGGTGCCGCGATAATTGGGCCACGTGTGTCGTGCGTGCACTGGGCACGGTATGGCTAATTGCGCAACTGGTGTCGCGCCACGCGGTGTGGCCTGGCAGGCCGGGCCTCGGGGCAGTCGAACGCGGTACACGGCAACGCGGTACACGGCGTGCGGCCGATCGGCGGGCCATGCGCGTCTCGGCTGCAGCAGTGGCGCCCGTGTCCTGCAGTGCAGTGCCGGGGGCTTGTCCAGCGGGCCCACAATGTGACAGGGCAATGCTGGAGGGTAAGGCGGGCGAAGTGGGAGGGTGGGGGCGGTTTTCCGATGAACCGGACCTGAGTCCCGAGTCCGCGCGGCGTGTAACGGAGCTGCCCAAGGTTGTCAACCCTTTTCAACACGGGCTTGAATAAGCGCTCTTCTGGCGGCGGCGGTCGGACAGTTTTGAGATGACTGGCTGGCCTCGCCGCCCTGCCGCGCTGCCGCGCCCCGCCCCACCTCTCGTCTCATCCCTGCGGCGACCTCAAAGTCCCCAGGGACCCCCCCCCCCTTCCCCCTGCCCCGACCGCCGCACCGACGTGGAGCAGGCAGAAAATGAAAACAGAAGAGCTGCGGTTCCCTGCCTGATGAAGTGAGGGCGGAATTACGGCGAGATGTGGTATGAACAGACGTTGACAAAACCTCAGGCGAGCCGGCAATGCACAAAGCTACCCCATCCCCCTCC